CCGTCGTCATTCGCTCATGTTTCATAACTTTCAACAACTCTACGCCAATTTAGCATCTCTAAATGACGTACAAGGAAAAGCTGAGAACTGCACATTTTGAAAAATACCTTACCGGGTGGGCCAAAAATGGCACAACATCATCCAAAAGCATATAAATCGACGTCTTGTCAAGCAGTCGTTCTTTGCATAGCTCATATATGCATTGTAATGCACTAAGCTGAACAAACTCTTCATAATCTCGCAGACCCTACAGCAAAGTGACGATGTGCAACAAAGAAGATTTATGAGGCGCCAGTGCACCAGTTAAAACTATCATGTCAGTAACTAAAAAGAAAAGACTTATTTAGGAGAAGTTGACCAACAAAACGTAATGATAGACGCTGTCCTCAAAAAACAACTCCAAAAGTTTCTAAAATTTAATTTTTAATGAAAACCTGCTGTAGAAGAGAACGTAAAATAAAAGCGCTCTGTCGTCCCACGTATTTAGCTGTGATTGTGCAGCACCGAAAAAATGTCGCTCGAAGGCGCCAATCAACTTTGTCATTTAGAAAAGTTATCATATGCGACAGCAAAACGTCCGTGGCTAAAAGAAATCAAGTACTCGTAAGGACATCATATATCTACAAAAAATGCTAATTTCAAGAGGAAGTTAAAATAAATGCGCAATTTCTCAAGGTAAATTAAATTTCTCGGAAAAACAGAAATCCCAGGACCACTAATGAATTTACTTCATAATATAAAAGTGAAGAATTTTATCCCTAAGGGAACAAGTAACACCCAACTTACACTTCTGGCGATGGAAAAAACGACAAAGCTTCTCCAGCGATTCAGGAACAACAAGTGAAAGCTAAAAAAAGTGTACTCCGCAGTGAAAAATTATTTTCTGCATACCAACAAAAAAATTTTTTACAATGTTAAGCGTGAAATGTGCAACAGAATCGCACTAAATCGAAATCCTTACCTTAACATTATTATCCGTTCCACACAAATTGACAAAGATCTCATTAACAGCTTCATGTAAAGCTTCCAATTCTTGTCTAGTAAGGACCTCCTCTTTCTTCCCCTTATCATCCGCCTCAACTGCTAAACTTCCTTTCAAAAAATCATCTGTTAAATTCCTCGAGCACTGAGTCAAAAACCTTAAAACAGTATTTTCAGTCCATAAAAGCAAGGAAATTTCAGAGTGAAGCAATAAAAAGAGCAACTCATAATTTGAAAAAAATAAATACAATAAAAAAACTTATACGGTTTTTTCCTATTTCAATGAAAATTTGAAATAATATTTCTAAATCAGTTCTCACCCAAATATTCAAAAGTTTTTTAATCACAATGAAGAAAAAATAAACAACAGTTTCATATGTAGCAATGCTGTAATTTTATCAAAAATATGCGACTGATATGTGACTGATACCAAATAAGAAATTAAAAAAGTATAATAAAAATTAAAATATCTCTAATCCTTACCTAGAAAAACATTCAGAGCTTCATAAAACCAAAAAAATAGCTAAAATGATTACTTGACAGAAGTTTCTGCTAATTCTCCCAAATTTAAAGCCAGTGACATGCGAACGAGCACGGCATGATCCATGGAAAGCACCTTCTTAAAACAGTTTACTGAATCCAACAACCCAGTGACCTAATCAGCAAATGAAATTTTGAAAAAGTGAGCAGAAAAGGCACAAACTAACGAATAAGACGCTACCAGTCTTGGAAAAATATAGTCCACAAAAAGACGGTTTTCGTTAACAGGTATTTCTTTTATAGAAGAAAGAACGGTAGTGATGGCATATATAGCTTCAACTCGAACTTGGACGCAGAAGTCGGAGAGAAAACTCATCTAAAACACCAATAATTTCTTCATTCATCACCAGCGCCACATGAATGTCAAGGCTTCTTCAACAGAAACAAAAACTATTCGAAACTTCAAGTACGAGAACATTTGAAAACACCCACTAAATATGGAACTATTCTGTCAGCAACAACGGACGGTTCAGTTATCACAGCCAACTGTCGCAATATTTCCATTGCCGTCTGCAAACCAGAAAGTTTGAAAAATAAAAAAAAATTGTTATAATTCTTAGGAAAAATTTTGGGTAATAATTATATAAAGAGAAGGCACAACGCCGTATAACCAATAAATCATCAGATAAATCAGAAAACTTACAAGTTTAGCACTTAACGACTTCAGCATTCTGATGTTAGACGTGATTAATGATATGAACAATATTGAAGCAGAAGTTTGAGCAGAACCATTGCAATTTTCGCCCAGCTTCCCCAAAATCATATTGAGATCAGTATAAACCCTATGAGGAAACGAATAATAAACTGCACAGAAGTATTATCAACTGCACTTAAAAGGAAATAATAAACAATACTTAAGAACTATCTCCACTATGACATCAGTTATCAAGCTTATGCACGCAAATTAACACTATAATAGCTTTTTGACTACTATAACATGTATACCACTGCTAAACTCCAGATAAAACTGAGAAACCCCAGCGCCTACTTGATCTGAAAGGATCCTACTAAAGCATTATTTCTTTCTTAAATATAAAATTCACTTAGCAATCACATCATCGGGTTCCATAACAGCAGTAACACCCTCACTCGGTTCCTCAGGAACCACACCGGGTGGGTTAAAGCGTGGTCGGAAAGCAAGCATATAGTTGTAAACAAAACGGTCAAAAACGTTAGGGAACAAAGCTGATGCATAATGACGTAACTAAAAAATCATTGATACAATGGGAATACCTTTAGCATAACTGTGCAAAGAAGAAGCTTTAAAAAAAATGGCATCAACATCCATTGCTGCTGCGACATGAGTACTAATACATCCACTAAAAACTTCATTTTATATGAACTAACCGCAAGTACTCAATATTAAACAAAATAGTAGCTGGAGACAGCTGAACTACTCAAATGACAAAAACACTGAAGGTCAAAAACAAGTTGAAACGATTTTCAAGAAATAACTTATTCAACTGCATGAAGGATTTTTACTCATAAAAGTTAGAGTCTAATCATAATCGTAGGAAGGGAAAATAGGACAACAATCACTCACAATTTCCGAACCTAATGGCCGTCTCTTAGGATTTCTATCTAACATCAACCCAATCAACGATCTCCATTCTTCAGGAATGTATTCCAAAATATGTTGTATTAGTTGATTAGCGTCATCTTTCTTCGCCTCTCTACAAAACAAGTTTATATCGATAAGTGTAAAAGAAAAACAAACGCTCTTAAAACTTAAAGTAAAACAACTTGTATCTGATTATACTCTCGTAAGTAAACGGTATGCGGCCTTCAGTCAGAAGCTCAATCAGAACACATCCAGCCGAAAAAACATCCATATTGGGCGTCAGTCCTTTGGAAACGTCCATAAAGTCTCCAGGCAATGTTGGATGTGTTTTTATTTCCTGGCTTGGTTGAAAACGTTCAGGAGCAAGATAACAACTTAATCGGCGACTTGTATCAAAGAAGAAATGAAAATACGAAGGATCATCCTAAACTGTCACGAATTTTAAAGCCATATCCGAATTTTACAGCTAAAGAACAAGCATCTCTAAACAGTCAGAATTAATTTTTTTCAAAAAGTGTAACATCAAAGCAAAAAAATACATTAAAAATTGTGATAAAAAACAGAATCAGTATCACAAGCCTTACGGATGGAAGGCAAGCAGGTTTATAAGATGCAAAATCAGTTATATAAATCCACGATGAACTAGACACCAATATGTTTTGTGTTTTTAAATCCCCGTGGCAAGTACCGGTACTTTCGCATTGAGCTAAAGCCTATAATGCAATCATTTTAACCTCAGCTAACTGATGAGTTCAAAAAAAAATTTAGTGAAAATGTGATTTCAGTTTAACGACCAATCATACTTTGAATAACTGGAAGGTAATCCACTTCTTTTCCACATCAGTCAAAAATGGTCTGGTACCTAAACGGTCGTATAAGTTCTGCTTTTGAAACTGTCGCAATAAAACCGCACAACGTTGCGTGACCTAGGTACAACCTAGCTACACAATATTTTCAAAAAAATTATACTGCCATTTGCCATATAGCAACTGATCCCTCTTTTTAAAAATGATAAGAATCTAACATTCTCAGAGGAATGAGTAAATTTCTTATTCCTTGGAAGTGGGATTCCTACACAGCAAAAGTACCTTAGTCTTCAACCAAAAAGTACAGTAGCACACTAAAACGTTCTGCTCATAACTATTCCTTTAAAAAAAATGTACCTAATGACTTAATGACTATGATAGTCTAAAATGACTTGCGTAAACAAATTACAAAGAATTCTAAAGCCAATAATGAAAGAGCACTCTTGAAAGGATGCAAGAAATCAGTTTACGTTACAAAGCATTTTTTTCATAAAATAAAGTGTAACCACACTTATATCTAAATATGGCAGACTAATAAAGAGCAAGTACTTAGAATTTTTAAAATGCCATTTAACTACAGCGAAGTACAGGCGAAAACACTACTCATTTGAAGCTATAAAATCAACCATAAACTAGAAAATAGCTATAGTTTTTACTCACATAAACCTTCTTGTATGGCAAGCAGTTCGGTTCGTTTGCCAAAAAAGTCCCGAGATGTTCAACCTAAAAATCAGAAAATTTAGAAAAAACCGAAAAAAAATAGGAATTCAGACCTGTACCTTCAAATTTTTTGTGCTATAATGTTAAAACAAAGTAATAAATGAAACTTAAGAAAATTGCCACCAAAGGAACCGAATAATCTATTTTTTTAAAATCAACAAGGTCTAAGCTCCACTTGAGAAAATACACCTGCTTCGTGTAGGGCTCAACAGAAAACGACGGATCATAAGGAAGAAACACTTTACAGACAGCGGGTCCATCTTTAAAATTTACTCTTGCTACTTTCATAAACCGAGTACTTCCCAAACTGCAACATACATTTTTTAAATTCCTCAAGTAAAAAATCAGTAAAACTTAATTTTCATACAAAAAATTCAGTCGATGAAATCAACAATTAACTCCATTTCATTTTATGCTAGCTTCCATTACAGAAAAAAT